AGAATCATTAAGGCTGGAAAAAAGATCTCTATGATCATTGAGTCCAACCATTAACCCATAATGGCTTTGCCTTTCCCTCTAGCTTTGATTTCTGTGTGATTTTCCCGCAGTTGGCCCTCATATGAGATGGTGCATTTCAGGTCTGACAGCAGTTAACACTAAACCATCCATGTCATCATACGGTAATTAATTGTAGATTATAAACGGTAGTGGGCTTTTCCAGCCTTTAATATAAAGAGTGTTTTCAGCAAGGCAGAGTTTTCTTGAGAACCTCCCATATTTTGCAAAGGAAAAATGAGGGAAAAAATAAAATCACACAGTTTGAAATTAATTCTGTACATGTCTGAAAAGGTACCGTATTTTCCCCCAGCAAGCGTACACTTTAAAGGATTTTTCCCCCAGTCGCACTTGCCAAGGCAGAGTAATGACTGAAGCGTTGTGGTAAGATAAAGCACAGTGCCAGGTAAAAATCAGGCTGAAATGGCTAGGGGGTCTTGTATTGTTTTAGTCTGTTTGAGCTGGTTATGAATTTCCTATTCGGGCTACTAGGAGAGAGACTTGTGTTCTGCACATTGCTAATTTAAATCCATGTCACACATTGGGTTACTCACTCATGAAACCTGTCTTATTCCTGACATAAATATATTCCTTTACTGGATAATGTCAGCCTAAGTTTCCTCTGTGATTATCATAGGAGCTGACAAAAACAGTATAATCACCTTTGGCTTGTCACAGAGTACAGATCCCAAATGCTGCCCATCAAAATGTTTCTGATTATGTAATATTTGCAATAGAAAATACAGATTAATACAAACAGCTGTGTTTTGCCAGACTACGGACCAGCCCTTCTATTCATTCTTTGGGGGTGAAATTGCCTTTTCCCAGGCCAAGCCTCTGTCATGCTAGCATATTCAAGAGGATCTGAGGGCACAAAATGTTCCTCATTTCAGAATCGCTGAAAGGATGGATATTATATTCTTGCTGTTCTTCTGTAGTGCAGGATTCCCATATACAGGGGTCCTGGTGGGGGAGCTTGTGAAGAGGGGAATTTCTTACAGTCTCACTTCATCTTAGACATCGCCAAGATGGAGAGTCAGACCTGCACCGTACATCCTCCAGGCTCCACCAGAGGCAAAAACAAGATGGGCTAGGGGAAAGGGATGTCCTCAAGAAGCTCTGAAAGGGCTATATCCTCACCCCTTCCTCATGGTTAAACCTTTTTTCTGAAGTCAAGGGAAAGAATTAATTCTAATGGGACTATAGTCCAGAAATAATGATGCGCACCACTGTGTGCTAGACTATACATTTGCCTCTCCTTCCTGTGGAATCCTATGCAATCATACTATTAAGTATGAAATTAGTATAAGAAGCATGACAAACTCTCCAGCTGATTAGTGGAAGAGTGGATTTTCTGGCAAAGTAAATCTTTTGAAAGTAAATCTACAAAGAATTCCTACAAGGAATACTACACTACTGTATTTTAACGCACTGTATTACCATGCAATAGGTTGAATCTGCTTACAAGGGCAAGAAAGGTGAGCATCGACTTTCACTTCGAGTTATTAAACTGTGAATAAAAGGAAATTACAAGCTGAAAAATATTAATTTTCTCTAAATGACAGGATTACTGAGATTTGTCTGCAAATCAAAGGAATCATCTTGCTCATCTTTCCTTTGGAATCAGAACTGTGAGCACAGTTTCTCAGCAGAAAGAAAGTTTTGGAAATATTTTCAGAGGATTACAGAATGGAGCTACATAGTGGACTACACTGGGATCAGCATTTTTAACTTCAATATTTTACATTTATGATTGTATTGGTATTGTAAGGAAGCCAAATATACACTTTGGCTAGTGTTCTTATTAATAAAAAAGTGCTTCACTCTTACTAAAGTGCTAGTGCAAACATCTATAACTTTCTGAAGATGAAAATACACCCCTGAAAACAGTCAACATGCTTTAAAGCTTTTTGAAGTAGAACTTGGGAAAGTAAAAATGGTTTTTTTGCCATGTTAAAAGGCATATGACTGGCTCCTGTGTCCACATTTTCAATTCTCATGAAAACTGCAAGCCAGCAAAAACTGTTACCCAAGTGCTCTGTATTGTGTTATTGTTACAGAAGAGATTACTTTTCATTAGCTTACTCCTGGCAAGAAGAAATCTTAAACCATATCACGTGGGATGAGGAGACAGTTAAGGGTGTGTTTCATAATTTTTGAATGCAAGAGGCTGGCATAAATTATAATGCTGTTCAGCAGGCAGAGCTGGCTCATTGTTCTGCTGGTTTCACACGGCATTCCTTTCTTTCCCTCTCTTTTTCTTTATGCCTTCAGATTAATAAACTTAATTTCATTTTTTCCATAAGTTGCAAATAGTTTTATTATTTAATAAGAAAAATATAACTCTAACTGAAAATTCCATTGCTATGGTCTGTACTGCTCACTATTACACAGAAAACAGATCTCATTGTCATTTTATAGCACCATTCTTGAAAAAGACTGACTTTCTTTGGCTCTTTGGAATGCTAAAAGGGTAAGTACACTAAATGTCCACTGTTTTTCTGGAAGACAGATGTAACCCCTTGAGAAGATGAGAAACTATGTATTCTGTTTATTTCTAGCAAGGGCCCATTGAGTCTGGATCAAAATGATGAAGAAATTTTTGGTTCTGCAGAGAGCAAAAGGAAAGGACATTTGTCACATGCATGCTACATTGACATTTTAAGCAGTTATACACTCCTCAGAATCTCCACTTTCTTTTTCAGAATATACTTCATAGAAATATTTTTTACAAGACATTTATTTTACAGAATAAGGCATGATTATTTCCCTCTTTTTTAATAATAAAAAGCAGATGACATTATTATGTACACGAACAGTGCAGCTAATGTTTTGGTCAGTCCCCAGGCTGAGCATCATATACTATGCCATGTCATTTGAAAGACAAAAGCAGTGGATGGAATCACATTTGGAAGTGCATCAAGAACAGACGGAGCTGCACTGTATAAATCTCACAGACCTACATGTAAAGCAGAAACCATGTTTAAATTGCAATAATTCTGTAATATTTAAAGGGCTCAAACTGTGCATGACTTTTCTTTCTTTGGGATAGCAGGAGAACTAAAAGACTAAATAGTAATTCTCTCTATTTTCTGCCAGCGACTTTGAGCTCCATGTTAGCTATTTTGTCTTCTGGCATTTTCTTGCATTGATTCTCTACTGCTCCACTAAAGGAATGTTTCTGTTATGTGCTAGTGAAAGCTATGCCTGGTTTCTCTTGAAAAAAATAAAGCCTGTCCTTTCTTACTACTGTACAAGCTGGTTCATAGATTATGAATGAGTGATGAGCCCAGTTTTCTGCCTGGTGTGTGAACAAGTTCTGATGCTGGACCTCGGGCTGCTCCAACTCACATTTATCTGAGAGCAATGCAGGGATGTTTGTTTGCCAGAGTGTCCAATCTTGAAGATTTCTTCAGAAAAATATAATTTGATACAGTATTTTTAGATTCTGCTGCACACTGATGCCATGCTGTTTGCAAATAAGGCACTTGAACATTTTTCTAAAGAGGGACAATTACAAGAGTATTGGTTTGCTTAGCAAGGCAAAGTAAAGACTGGAGGAGGAAACGACCACTGCCTATAAAATAATCAAAGAGGCAAGAAGCATAGCACCAGTGAAGATGGGTATTCATATTCATGCAAGGTAATGAACACTATTTGCATAAAAGCAAAAAGTAAAGTGGTGCCAATATGTATGGATGGACTGGAAATTTGACAAGGTTTATTCACTTGGGCAGTCAGACCTACAGCAGACTCCTAAGGCGAACATTGGAGATGAAAAAACAAGCTGGATTTGTGATTGCATTCAACATGTTTATGGGAAGGGAGTTTGAGATGGTGCCTGGATAGCACATCATGGGGCTCTGCCAATTCCAAATCCACTTATAAAGGTCTGCTAGTGAAATGGTGAAGCGGACAGTGGGAGGAACTGGTGGGCAAGGTTTCATGAGACCCACAGGCTGTAATGTGATGAGAAACACAAGAATCACGAGAAGGAGCTGTGAGTTTCACAGTTGCACTGGGGTAAAAATCCTCTCAATTTACTGAGTCACATTAAAATCATGTTTTCCATTGACATTTCCACGTCACTGCCAGGTGAAAAGTTAATCTTCCAATGAAAAAAGGCTAAGGGCACACTCCTACTGAGCACCTGCAGCAAGATGTGAGGTCAATCAGGGCAGTGTTGCCCTACTTGCCTGTAAAGGAGGTAAAAGCCTTTTCTTTAGAAGAACCCCACAGTTAGTGCCTGGTGGGGCTGTCAGTAAGGAGAAGGAAGGGAAGGGAAGGATGAGAAGACATAGTCTCGAGCTGTGTCAGCGGAGGTTTAGGTTGGACATCAGGAGGAACTTCTTCACTGAAAGCGTGACTAGACATTGGAATGAGCTGCCCAGGGAGGTGGGAGAGTCACTGTCCCCGGAGGTGTTTAATTAAAGACTGGACGTGGCACTTAAGTGTCATCATCTAGTTGACAAGGTGGTGTTCGGTCATAGGTTGGACTCGATGATCTCAAGAGATCTTTTCCAACTTTAATGGATTCTGTGATTCTGTGTGAGTGGGCGGCCATGGCTGGATGCACTGCCTGCACGCCACACAAGAAAACCCTCGGCAGCACGGCCGCAGGCAGGGGTCAGACACAGAACCTGGAGGTGCAACACCCGAATCCAGGCGTGCTCCCAGAACGGGGAAACGGGGAAAGCCCTCCCGGACCACCTCCCAGCCCAGCCGGGCTCGGATCCCCCTGCTCCTCCAAGGCCGCGAATTTCCGCGGCAGGTCGAGGGGGGGGGCGCGCGGGGCCGCCTGCCCTCGGATTGGATGGTGCTCCTGTCAATCAACCCGGCGCGCGCGCACCTCCCCCTTTCCCGTGGTGCCGCGGCGGGCGCTGAAATTCAAATCCCGGGAGCGGTTGGGGCGGAGGTTTGGCTGCATTCGGGCGGTCTCGGAGAGTGGACCCTGCAAGGGTGGCGGCGGCAGCAGCAGCAGCGGCAGCAGCAGCAGCAGCAATAGCAATGGACCCGTTCACCGAGGTGAGGGCACGACCTGACCCGACCCCTGGGTCGTCAGCTATGGAGGGGCCGCACCCGGGCCTTGAGCCGGGGAAGGGGGCCAGTTGTCAGTATCGGGGACAGAGGGCGGAGAAGGGGCTGGTCGGGGTACGCAGGGAAGGCAAGGGAGCTGCTCTGTGCACGGCGCTCTGGGGGCGGAATATTTCCTCTCAGCCTGGCTCCCGGCTGAGCCCTGTCCAGCGCCCCTCGTCCCCGCTCGCGGTACTCCGGGGCTTTGCGGGCGAGTGGCGACCTGCTTTCTCCGCGGCGGGGAGACCCTCTCTGCTCCCCCAGCCCCGTCTGGCTCCTGCTGGTCCCTCCGCTCCTGGAGCCACCCAGGTGTCAGGCCCCTGCCGGGAGAAGACAGAGGGGTGATTCACTCAAGGGTTTGCGGAGGAGAGGACCTTTCCCATCCCGGGCGTTTGCCTTTCGTGCTCATCCGGCAGATAAAACTTTCGGCTGGAGCGGAAGGGACCCTGGGAGCTAGTGGGAGTGGTATTGACACATACTGTGCTGCCGTACCTAAAGGTCGCGTGTCAAGTCTGCCCAAAGCGGCGACCGTCTGAAAAAACTGCGTCTTATTTGGCACTATTGCCATCTGCGATTATGGTCACTCTCATTGGCAGGCACGGTTCCTCTTTTTTGTTAAAAAAAAAAAAAGTAGTTGTCAGTTGTTAGGGTGGACTTGCTGTGTGTGTACTTGAGTTTTACAGAGACAAAATTGTAGCAAAATGAGTGGAGTTGACCAGCTTGAAGCTGTATGAAGGCTGGAGGTTTCTGAAAGATGCTGTGGTATACTTAAGGTGTATTTTATGTGTCAGGGCTGTAAAGTCTTGAAGCCGTCTTGTGACTACTTTGAGAAACCTCCTAGTAAAAACGGCCTTCAATCCACAGCCTGCCTAAACAAAACCCCAATTACTTTAAAAAAAAAATCAGATCAGATACACTGATGAACTACTCTCTTATCTCTACTCTCTTATCCCCTTGTAAACAATCTGTTTATCAAACTGACGTAATTAAAATAATTCGAGCGCCCAGAAAAGGTGACTGCACAGATCTGATTTTAAAAAAAATGAACACAAGATGTTGATCTAAACAGATTTACTAAATGTGTAATGCCAAGGCAGATCTACTCCACCTCCATGAAAAGTTTTGCTAAGTGTAAACATCTAAAACCTCCTTCCTTAATTGGTAGTGAGTGACATGATCCAGCTAGTCTTAAATAAACTTCAAGTCTGGACTACCAAATCAAATTCAAAATGGTTTTGCATGCTGGGAGGTATTCCAACCTCAACACGCCCTTTCTTGTACATAACTGACTTTGAAAAGCTATGACCAATTGTGAGGCTACTCCCCTGAGTAAACTTCATTTTCAAGTATTAGCCAGTATTGCAGAGTGTCTTATCAAGAATGTTTCTGCTGTGGAGAACATTCCACTCTTGTGTAAAGATCTCACCAATATTAGTGTATTAGTATTGAAGTTTAGTAATTTTCCTCAAAAAAAATTTCAGTGAAAAGAAACCTTTTAACCATCTATTTTGAAGTATTTATGTTCTGTGGTTTGTGTTGTTATTTTTTTTAATATAACCTTCCCTTAGCTAAACTGTTTTTAGATAATCTTTGTCTACAAATTATGCTGTGTAACTTTCAGGGAACTGGTGAGGCATTGCAAGTTGATTATGTAAAGCAATATAATTCACAGTCACAGAATATTTGAACCTTAATGGACCAAAGCGTGCTGTTAATTCAGTGTGTGTTGATCACTTTACAGTAGCAAATTTTGGCTGGGTCTCAATCAATTTAAGCTCAAATAAATCTTACTCTAAAATTCAGTGGAATGCTTTCAAATTAGACAGTTCAGAAATAATGTTTCTTTTTATTAATCTTGGAAGAAAAAGCTAATAACCTTCTGAATCTCAACCAAATTATTAATACAGATCACACTGAGGAGATGGTACAGTGGGTAATTTTTCAGGATATTTTGTAATTTGAAGTAGTTATTAACATTCATAGAGCAAAGTATGGTTTCCTAGCATGGAGAATGAGCAAAGAGTGATGCAGTTGTTCAGGGAAAACTTGCAATTATGAGGTTTGAAGTTAACTGTTCATTCAATGTCATGGATAAATTTGCTCCCTTTGCTCTATTCTGCTAGTAAAGCAGGTTTATTAGAACAAATTCTTGTAATCATATATGGGCCCCAAGTATCTTCTCTAGTATTGAATAAATATAAAATATTTAGTAAAATATTGAATAACTGAGATTGTCCATTAACATTTGAAGTGGGAAGGCCTTTTCTGATTTTCAGAAGGTGCTTTTGTAACACGAACAGCGATCCTCTGGCTTTGACTCAGTAGTCCTCAAATTCCTTGATGTATTGAAATAAGTAGTGCTCTCAGGCATATGGTGAGATTCTTGGGGCTATCCTGTGCAGGGCCATGAGTTAAACTTTGATGATCCCTGTGGGTCCCTTCCAGCTCAGGATCTCATGTGATTTTAGCATTCTATGATACTCTGAAACTTTGTCATCAGAACAACTTTGAGAATGTACTTGTAACAAATACCCTGTTGATGAACTCGGAAAGTAAGTTTCAAGCTCTGGAGAGTGGCTTACTCATTGTGTGTCATAGCAGCATTTGAATCATGGCAGTTGCATGGAAAATTTGAGATACAAAAAGCCAATAGGAGCTGGAGTCGAACAACAGAGGCACGCATTCTTGGGAAGTGACATCCTTTTTTTAACAACTGCAACTCTATTTCACTGAACTAACAAAACAGAAAGGAATGTGACTCCATTTGAATAGAACGACAGGAATACTGTTGTGGAAGATATATTCAACATTGTGCAAGAAGAACTGTTAAAAAATATCCTAATGGCTATTTAAATTATGTGGGTATTACGTGCACCTTGTAGCTCTGCCTTTTGTAAGTTGAAATAAGGAAACATGACTTGTGGACGGAACTAAGATGGAACCTGCATTGAAGGCATTTCATATGTCTTTTTGTTTGTTTGTTTTGGTTTTGCTTGATTGGATTGTTGTTGGGGTTTTTTTCCTTTCAAAATCCTCCTCTTCTATGAAAGTTAGAGAAGCTGAGATTTGCTTTCACAAAAAAACTGTTGAGATTGACATTCTGTTTGTCCTGTGTTGCCCTACAATGGAACATTGTTTAAGACTTCAGCCTTAGACAGTTAAAAATGTGAAATGTGTATTTAATTGCTGTGCAACAGGATGGATAATGGCTGGCACAGTTCTCACAATAATTTATGTGCCACCAAACAAGTGCAGTTTATATGCTTCGCTTTAAAGGCCATTAGTTCAATCACACATTTTCTTGTCTCAAACTGAGTTATAATGATTTACGAATGCTGTATTTAAAAAAAATACAAACAAACCACAACATATTTTAAACCTGGATGCTATAAGGAATCACTTTCTACTAGTGTGGAGCATTTACTAAAGCAGCTATATTGTATGGAATATAATCAGAGTACTCAAATTTCCAATGGATAGGGAATGAAAGATAATGTCAGGTACCTTAATTGGTATCTCTATATGTTCTTCTGAATACAGATATCTCAATAAAGAGGTTATTTATCGTAGTATAACTAGTCATAACATCAGTCTATTCTTAAAATTTAAGCTTCAGGCAAAGAAATTCACCTTTTGATTTAGAAGGTGTAATAGCAACAATTTTTTTTAATATTGATAGCCACACATTTAATTTGTTGAATTTTTTTATGATCACTTGACAACGGCTTCACTGCTGTTTATTTTTTTAGAGGGTTAGTGCCAGTCAGATGACTTGACCAGATGCTTTAGCAACCTGTCAAACCCAGATCAAGATTGTCATGTAGTGATGCAGTAAAAAAATATAATTACTTTCAAACCTTTCTGACTACTTCGGACTCTAAATGAACCTCTCTTTAATTTTGCCATTGCTTCTATCTCTTTACCCTGGTTTTCTTTCAAAGCCAAGCTAATGGGAGACACCAGTTGATTTAATGACTGGAAGTTTGGAACCTACTGGCTGGCTTCTGGTATTGTGGATCTTAGTATATGCTATATAGAATGCTACCATTTTTTAATTTGAGTTGTTACTGGTTAACATGCTGCAATGTATAGTAACACGTGATCTACTGACTACTCAGAAACTCCTTGAAAGAACCCGTGCCAGGCGAGAGAACCTGCAGAAGAAAATGGCGGAACGGCCCAAGATGGGAGCAAGACCCACAATGCAGACCAAGAGGGTCAGAGAGCCTTTGGCAGAAACTGGTAACCAGGCTTCTCCTCCCGGTGAAGAAGGTATTTGGCAACAAGTTTAATAAAGGTTGTCTTTTGATGCAAGGCCTATTTTTTTTCCCTAAGGGCAAGTGAGAATCCTGAGTGTATATCTTAAACAGTGATGGATGCAGTTACCTGACCACTAGGACTAACTCATGTTTAGCTTGACTTGAGAGCAGATGCACTAAGGAATTAGTGAGCTATTTAGAAATAATAGCCAAAGATAGTGCCTTGTGCTTAGTAGATCTGGGAAGGGCATTTTTTTGGGAGGCATATCAGGGTATTCAAAAATCATAACTTTATTAACACTTTAGTTTTGTGTTGTCTCTGGAAATATTTTAGATTGCTTGAATAGTAATTTACTTGAATGCTCTGACCTGTACAGTAAAACCTGATACAAAGCCATCACCATCAAAGAGGCTCTGCCCTAATGATATAGAGACTCAAGCTTCTAGTTCAGAGAACGTACAGCCAGTTCTTTCAAGTTCCACAAGCCATGACTCTCCTAAGATGACTTCAGAATTGCATGAAACTGCTTCTAACAGGACTTCATCCGTTCAGCCTCTAAACACCAAGTCGGAAACTCCTGCAGCCCTTTCAGTCAAAACACGTATGCAGAAACTGGCAGAACAGCGGCGCTGCTGGGATAGTGAGGGTATGTTTCACTTGCTAAGCAGTAGTGGTGTCTTTCAGTGTTTGTATTGATGATTGTTTGGTAGTAGAAGATAATTTTGTGTGTGTGAATGCTAATATTTTAATAAAGAATTCTGAGACAGTGCTAGGGAAGGCCTAAAATACTGAAGCTTTGACCACAGCTTAACAGTATAATTTTTTTTCCTCCTACTAGTCTGATGCCTTACTCCTTATAGCAGTGACATAAAACTAGTAAACTGCTTGATTAAAAATGTTTAATTTGATTAGTCTCAATGCCTTCAGGACTAATAGTTAGATTCTGTTGTTGGCTGGAACATCTAACTGTTGATTAAACTCAATACATTGTACAATGCAAAATACGTAAATATATCTCAATATATTTTATTAGCAAAATAAATGTGTTTTTCTTTTTTCCAGATCCCTCTGAATGTGTTTCTCTGTCCCCTCTCCAGTCAAAAGATCTGCCTGTTTCTCCACCTAAGCAGACATCTAATGCCCTGGCAAGTGAAACCCCTATTGGGAGAAGAGGCCGTTTAGCTAACCTTGCTGCTACAATTGGTTCCTGGGAAGATGACCTAAGTCATCCATCTGCAAAGCAAAACAATGCACAAGAACAGCCTGGCACTACTTGTTTATCCAAATTGTCCACTACAAGTGGAGCATCTGCTAGAATCAATAGTAGCAGTGTAAAGCAGGAAGCTGCATCCTGTTCTCAAAGGCTTGTTGAGGCTTCTATTAATAAACCAGCAAACTCAAAGAGAGCGGTGAGTGCCTGATTTGGTTGCTGATTAAAAATTGATATGAGTATTGCAGGGTACAAACATTAACACATAACTGTTTAATCTGAATTTAAAGATTTGGTGTGAGCAATCTTAGTCTATTTACAACTTTCACTTTATTGCCATCCCACATGCTGTTTGTTTAATCGCGGACGTGAAACAGCTTAGAATTCTTTTTGCTGAGATTTAAAGATGAGAGTACTTAAGTGTTTTGTAAAAGTTGGTATCAATATAATTGATTGCTGCTCTTGACCATCAGAAAGGGGCTTTTTACAGAGATACTGGGTTTCACTCTGTAACTTTATGTAGTTGATTGACTGAAATTGTAAATATTGTTGCTGTATGAAGACTCAATCAGAATGATGAAATTAGTAGTACCAGACATGTATTGTTTGGTTTATGGCATTTATGCAATGGCAATATCTGCAGTCTTGTTTAGGGAAACGTGGGAAAATACCTGAAGTAGCTGACAAGAGCACCTGGAATCAAATTCTGAAACAATTTGGAACACTGGATTAAAAAAAAGAGAAAAGCTTAAGACTTGTCTCAGCTTTTTCTTTTGTTGATGGAATAGATATATTAGGTGATAGTAGGCTATGCAGAATGCTTTCATTCTTTTTCCTCTTCAGAGAATAAGAATGTGTCATCTTAACGTTTTTCCTTTTTGTCTTGTTCAGGATCCAAACAATTTTTTAACACAATCCTCAAGATCCACTGCTCCACATTCTAACAAATCTGAAGTACAACTGCTAACAGAGAATCCCTGCAGCCCCAAGAAAACTCAAGAGCATACACAAACAGCAAAATCATCTTTGCCTCAACCAGTTCAGTCCAAAGAAGAGCCAGTCAAAGGAACACATGTGCAACTTGAATCTAAGGGTAAACCCACAACACCAGGTAAGCTGTTTTTCAGCCTCAGTAAATGTTCATTCAAATTAGGTTTATGTGTTCTGTGTTCAAAACTACATGTTAGTTAAGAATTTAAGGTAACATACCAGATAATACCTATTTCCTGCTGTGAATTGATTAAAATTCCAATGAGTTCTGTGGTTATTTTAAGTTGTACAGCTCCCATATATTGCAGGGATATTTTTTTTAGACACAACTTTAGTAATTCTCTAAGAGTAAAATCAGTTTAACTTTTTATACTAACATGTTAATTGAGATTATTCAAAGTTTATTTCAAGTTGTTGAACACTATGTGTATCCTATCAATATAATGTTAAGAGTCTGCATATGTTAAAAGAAATCCCACAGATGCACCAACTTTGCATAGTGTTCTTCTTTCAGTTGATAGCACTAATGTCAAAACAAGTGAGCATCCCCAGTTTTGAATTCAACTGCTTATTGTCTCAGAAACTTGGACTAACTGCTTGAACTCTCCGAAAAGAAAATGTGTGTCTCTAGATATGCTGACAATAAAAGACATGCTCAATAAAATAGGGTGGATGCTGAACAATATGTCTGCCTTATGTATTAGAACACTCATTTTCATGAAAGATACAAGTGAAGTTTGTTATAGAGGAAATATTGAAAAAGCAAACAAGTTTAAATAACTGTATCACATGTGGAGTGTAGTAAGAGAGGGACATCTGTTTGCTCTGATTTGCTGCTTTATTAACTTCAATGTTCTGTCATGATTTGACCTTCAGGCTCAGTTTGTATAAAATATAATGGAGTAAGATGTGTAAAGGAGACAGCTTAATTGCTTCACTGAGAACCTTCATCAGGATGCAAATTGCAGTGATTTCTTTCTGTATTTTTGAGAGTTTCTTTCAAGGTGAAACAATTGTTCTTGTAGGGGGATCAGGAATTAAGCCCTTCCTGGAACGCTTTGGGGAGCGCTGTCAAGAGCGTAGTGCACGCAGCCCTGCTACAAATACTCCTGGGTGCAGAACACCTGTTGTTACCCCAAACACCAGGACAATCCAGGAAAGGCTTCTCAAACAAAATGAAAATTCCTCTACTGCCAGTTTAGCACTTCAGCTTAAGCAGGTATGACTTGTTACATTCGTAGCTTACTTATAAAGGTATGGGGAAGATTCTTAGTGTTCTGCACCTATCTGAGGAATTTGAAATGTTGCAACATCTTAAAGCTGTCACCTTTTCCCCCATTCCCCTTTATTTGCTTAGGAACGTGAGCGAGAACTTGCATGCCTTCGTGGCCGATTTGATAGGGGCAATCTGTGGAGTGCGGAGAAAGGTGACAGTTCAAAGAGGAAACTTCCACAAGCTAAAACGGTAATGTGTTACCTGCATGTATCAAAATATGATAGTCTGAATTGCTTCAATGTGTTCTGAATACAGGGATAGACATGCAAATATAAAAAGTAAAAAACGTATGCTTTGGGGAATGTCCAGGCTGTGCAAGACCACTTGTCAAGTGATTTGTATGTTTATTAAGAAATTATTAGATTTCTTTTTTCCTGTTGTAAAATCAGCTAAGACAAGTGATACTGCTTTGAACCAACTAATTTATTTACTTTTTCATGATATTAAGTGTAGGGGTATTTTTTGTATTCTATAACTTCAAAAGCAGAAGAAAGCTCCTCACACAAACAATATTTAGCAATTCAGCTAAATTTCTTAAATAAATAGGGTACTGGATAGGCAACCTCTTTTTCCTATTTTCCTAGTAGGTGTTCAATGTATGTCTTTCTGGCAAGTGTGTTTTGTTTTTTTTTGTTTGTGTTTTTTTTTTTTTTTGTTACTTTGAACATTATGTCCTGAATGTATTATGTTTTTATTCTTGCCAGGAAAACCAATCTCAGGCTAGTCCAAAACGCCCTCCTAGTTCAGATGCCACTGCTTTTGGATCAACAGACAACACACCAGCAGGTGACAGGCCAGTAAAGTCTCCGAGTGTGGAGTCTTCGGGTAAGAACTGTCACAGTTTGCCTGTTGCTGTTACTGGACGGAAACACTGCGCTTGACCTCCATGAGCAGATAAAGAGGCTCATAGCACTGATGTGCAGAACTGGACCTCTTATTTGTTAACTGATTTAGCTACAACTTTTCATATCATAATAGCACTCTGCACTCCTGTACCACTTGAAAGGTTTGCAAGGCAAGACTGTCTTTTTGTTTTTCAGTGGGTTTACCTGTGTTTTATACTTTCACACAGGTTAAGTGTAGGGAAGTGAATGAGAATTGTCAGTTACAGATTTAATCTATGCTGTATCTGAGAATCCAAATTTCCACAATAATCTAATGAGAAAGAACTCTTGTCAGTATCCCTTTACGATATTAATTCTTATAGTACGAGATGTGAAAAGAACTCTGAGATGCTTGTGATACCCTTTCTGTTGCTTACTGAGTGGAAGAATCTCTAGTTTTCTGCGTAAAAAACATGAACCTAGTTAACACTTCTTCTAGACCTTATGGACAAACAGGCTATTAAATGTGCTTCTAGAAAAACAGGATCACATCCTGCTCTTGGATTGGGTTTGGGTGGGATGGTTTGTTTACTGGTTTTTTTGTTTGCTTTTTTTGAATTTTTCCTTTTTACTCTTGAGTGGCTGCATTCCGCTATGATTTCAGCATTGTTTCTTGAGGTATCAGTTTTCTGATTATAAGATAGAAGTCTAGATGTACAGGTTGTGGAGGATATATACTCTAATGCTTTTTGAAAGCCAGCTAACAGCAACACTTAATATAGTGGTCTTTTTGTTAGTAAAACTTCTAAAATTCAATAATTACAGTTCAAAGGCTAGACATAATCTTCAGTTACTTCTTTTTTTATAAACCACTTAGATGCTTCTAAATCTGAAGAGACTGATAAACCCAGTCCTCCGAAGGTCACTGAGTCAAAGAGCCCTGTGAAAGTGATGTCTGCCTCTGAACTCGAACAACTTGCTGAGAAACCAAAAGGTTTGTATTGAGTAAATGTATATTAATGCACTTAGCTCTCTGTTGCCACTTGTCTAGAACAGTGTTAATATCCTTCAAGTCTGAACAATGAATTCACCATACATACACTGACCCTCATGTGTGTTTTGTAGTGAGGTTTATATAAAACAAGCAACTTCTTTTATCATAATCCTTCTCCCTTGACATTCAAGTCTTCAAGGAACATTAAAAAGCTGATATTTAAGAGTTCATTGGGTAAGGACTGTGGGTCTTGCAGTTAAGTTTCAGATGTATTGAAACTAAAAGGTTGAAATTTGTCTAAGAGGTGCATCTTTTCATTCCCTCTATTGATTAAGCAGCATGTATGAAAATAACATTAAAAAATAATCACAGAAGTGTACTTTCTAGTTCTATAAGAACTGACTATAAGAAATGCTTTTTAATCAAGCTTACTGGAAAAGCAAAAATAGTTTATCTGTTAATATCACTTCACTCTCATTTAAGGGAGAGTTTAGTCTTGATGCTACTAATACGTTTTAAAATGTCACCCTTCAGATGAACTATGCCAAGTTGAAATGAATGTGGATGACGAAATGAATAGCTCAAAAGTGATAAATGAGATTTTTGAAATTCTTCAAGAGGACGGTCCAGACATAGAAAAGCTGAAGAAAGAAATGAGCATGAGCCTGGAAGGTGAAAGTGATGAGGATGAGCAGGAAGAGTCGCTGAATATTTCATCAATGTCTCTGTTAACCCCTTTAGTGGAATCTGTTGGTTCAGAGGTGAGAATTCTTATGAGGTGGAGAAGGACACACAGAGATGTGCAATTTGCTTGTGAGAAGTGACATTTTGTTGTATTAGGATATCTGAACAAATAGAGAATGACATTTTGCTAATGAGAGCATAATGAGGCAAAGTTATTTTCCTCTGAAAACAGTGTAACATATTGGATGCTCTGCTAAACAAATAGTCTTTTTGCTAAATCAACCTATTATTTGTACTGAACTTGCAGTGGTAGACATGCACTCAGTGAAGCGGTTGCTGATGAAGATCTGAAGAGAAGTAATTATGCAACTATACTGGTTTAGAAACTAAGGGTTTCTAAGTTCAATAATCTGTTGGTGTCCTTAAAATAAATAAATAAATTTGCTTCATGTCCTAGGAAATATTTGTAAGATGTCATCTGTTAAATAGTATTAAGCAGCCTCCAAATTTATTGTTTACATGCAAAAAAAGTAAAGGTCAGAGAAAACAGGTAATTAATAATGTGGACAGGTAGTACAACCTTTTCTTTTCCCCAGGCCTTTGCTTCTCCTTGTAAGTCAGCTGGGGAAGGTAGCAGTACCAGTGATGTAAGTCTGAAGTCTGAAAAGTTCCAAAGGACTAAAGTTCCCAGGGCAGAATCTGGAGACAGTATTGGCTCTATGTCAGAAGATCGCAACCTTCCATATAGGTAATAAACACAAACCTCATCCCTGATTCTGTAAGTGTACAAATTAAGACATTGGCTTTTTTGGACGTGTACTTGCTTTAACTATATGTTAAAGGACGTGTACTTGCTTTAACTATGAACAAAGCTTTTTTCCAGGATCTCAGCCTTTGTCAAAGATTGTCTCAGTGTACTCTTTTATGCTGTTTAAACTTAAAATGAGCTGATAGCATGCTTTTTTTTGAAAACCAATTAGACAAGTTGAAAAACATCAATATGCAGTACATATGTATGTGTATTAAAGAAAAAAAGCTTGGCACACCGGTGAAACATTTCATGAGATTTCCTCTTTTAAAAGTGTCGATGCGTACAGATCTCAGAGATTTAAAGAGACTGATCGTCCTTCAATAAAGCAAATCATTGTTCGCAAAGAAGATGTTGCTTCCAAACTGGAAATGAAAAGGAATGGCCCATCTGACCAAGTCAATATCAAAAAAAAAATGCAGGTATTTAATATGCTTCTTAAAATCCTTTTTCTAATCTACTGTTTCCACACTTAATTTCCCCCATGAATTAACATACTGCTTAGAACTGCAAAATTAGATTGTTTAACATAAATATTTAGTGGTAGGGGATGATACTGCATAATTTGAACAGCTGCATCTCTTTGAAGGATCATGTTATAAAGGAGGTCTGGAGAGAACAAGACATTGTTTTGAGAAGGAGACAGAATCTGTATCTTATTGCTGCCTTTGAATTAGGCCAGATTTGTAACTACATACTTTCAGTAGGCAGTATTCTGATCTTTACTAGTGCCTCGTTCACCTACAGTGCTGAATTTCTGGTTAGCTGCTGCTTCCCCCAAATGAAGGGAACACTAGACTGCATGTGTAGCATACAAACATTGGAGTCCTTCACTCCCCACCTTATTTAAATTACCTCTGAGGTCAAAAAAAGTCGTACTGCAATATTCTTTTGCGGAAGTAACTGTAAACTGCAAAATTTTTGTAGCTTACTATTTAAGTGATCTGATCTTTTCTGAAGCATAGCCCCAAAAATGCTAATCTTGAGACATTTCCTTGTTTGAATGTAACACTAAATAACTCTACTGGCTAATTATCTCTTCCACTGGTTTGCCCTAGGAACTGAACAATGAGATCAACATGCAGCAGACAGTGATTTATCAAGCCAGTCAAGCTCTGAACTGCTGTTTTGATGAGGAACATGGAAAAGGGTCACAAGAAGAAGCAGAAGCAGAGAGACTTCTTCTTCTTGCAAGTAGGTTCAATTCTTTGTCATGAACACTTTGTCAAGAACACTCTGGGAGGAACTCTGATAATACACATACTATACATCATTGTAAATATTTATAGTTCTTCACTTAGAAAACAGGAGAGGATATTATCTGTTTCATTTCAGCTTCTTTTGTAGGTGAGAGGACACTCTTGGTACCTTTCTTGCCCCTAATATTCATACTATTCTAGAAGATGCTTAATGTTTGTGTTGCATTTTATATGCTTATGGCAAAAAAAAAATGTTTCAGTACTACTTTTTCCTCTGTTACAATTGTAATTAATTCCTCTTTGCAGCTGAGAAGAGAACTGCTTTATTGGAAGAACTGAATAAACTGAAGAGCGAGGGACCTCATAGTAAAAGAAATAAAGGTGCTTCTACATCCACTGAATTTGCTCCATCCAGGGGATCTGTTTCCATTTCAGAAATGCGTTTACCTCTAAAAGCAGACTTTGTATGTGGTACAGTTCAAAAGCCAGGTAAAGCTATCAACCGAAGGCTTTTAGCCCTTTTCTCTCCCTTCCCTCGTTCTCCCAACATTTATTTCTTGTTCATTCTCCTTGGGGTTTTTTGTCTTCTATGCTGATGTTCTAAGAAATCTAATGACAATGAAAATTTAGCAATTACTTTCAGTTCATCTGCTTTTTGACTAAGTTTTCAATATTTTCCATGGTTGTGTTAGTTGCATCTTTTTATGGCTTGTGAGACTTATGAAACTTATCAGGATGTTTCCAGCCAGTCTTAAAGTTCTTTGTGGTTCTCTGTAATCTGTTGGAGAGGAAGTACAATTTTATATCTCAGGCTGTCTTCTCTCTTGCTGTCTTGGAATTTTTTTGATGGATGCAAGTCTAATACTAAAGATCTTTACAAAAATTCTGACCTTTGTGGCATTGTGAAATGCTCATTAAGCCTCTATTTTTTTCAATCCTGTTAACATTGCAAAATACTTAAGATGATAGAATACTAGTATTTGTAAATTGTTATAATTAATCAAGGTGTCAAAATGTGGATTTGTTTCTTCTTTTGTTCCAGAAGAATATCTAGCAATATCTCACTGTAGGTCTAGAGACCCATCCTGGAATATAGTGAATTTCTGGCATGTGGTTGTTCAAAGAATCTGCAAACCCATAATAACCAGTGCTATTTGATATAATACCACAAAATATGATTGTGTGTGGACAACTTTCTGCTTCTTGCCTCACTAAAACTTAAGGACAAAACTTATTGGACAAACATGTTACTGCTCTTGTTGCAGGAGACAATTCACCTCTGTTATAGGAAAACTTCTCTAAGGGTTACAAAAATATAAGTTTAATTTCTGTCAGTAATTCTCAAAATGAAATTGTCTAAACAAACAACTATGAACTATTTGTCATAAAACCTTTATTTTGGAAGCATAAAATTTGCTGTGCATTGTGCATCAGAAGCTCTATTAATCACTTGCATCTGAAGAGATAATCAAATATAAAGCGTACAAATCAATGTTTATTGGAGTTTACAACAGCTGTTCTGAAAGCTGTGACTTATCCTATACAACAGAGCACTCAAACTGTTTGGGGCGTTTTTGTTGGCTTGTTTTTTGTGGTTTTTTTTTTAATGTAGTCTCACATTGCTGAACATTAGGTAAAGCAAGAGCATTGTGCAATTTGCTGCACAAACTCCGAATTGTCTCCTGACACTCTTTAGATGTGTGTTTGTGGTGATCTTGCTTGTTTTCCTCTTATGTGAAAGGTTAAGGAAATGAATTGCCTGGATAGCCAGTTACTTCATAGGACTGAAAAAAGCATGAGAATGGGCAGTAGCAAGAGCTGATGTGTGCTTGAGCTGACAGACCTAAAGAGTGTAAGGAACTAAGATTAGCTGCTGAATCTGACTGCAAGTTCTTCCTCTCCCTTCTCATGCAAGGGTTAGTGTAGGTCTGGGCTGAGATGCCCCAGACAACAATGTGGTTTTTATGAATCTTATGGAGATGGTCCTACTAGTAAACACAGCATAGAAAAAATTGTTTGAAGACTAAGTTTATAAGTAAGTCTTGACTGTAACCAAGTGTTTAATTGGGGTGAAACAGATGTATTTAATGGTAATTCAGAATTCTGGGACTTTTAGATACTTTGAACTCCTCAGGCTAACAAAACTACCTGCTATGTATTTACAGACTCAGCAAATTACTACTATGTAATAATCCTGAGATCTGGAGCAGAAAACATGGTTGTAACTCCATTAGCAAGCACTGCCAGTTCCCTGAATGGAGATGCTCTTACTTTTACTGCGACATTTACTATGTGAGTATACAGAAATTCTTTTTGAACCAGTTTCAACTGCAATGGTAGAACATGCAAAAAATGTTTAAAATCTTCATACAAAAATGTCATATTCTGCAAACAAATATGGTGAGCTTTTGTGGTGTAGGTAGGTATTTCCTGCTTCAAGAAATAACTGGAATGCACTTCTCTCAGAAGAGCAACCTAGACTTATTCGACATCCATCAGCTATTTTATCTCTTGCTTTTTCTACCTTTGTTCTTTCCTGGAACACCTGCAAAGACAGATGGATTACCAGCCGGAGATTGTGTTTTTTCTCTTTTGCAGCCAATAACATTTTATGTAGCTATTTGGTTTTAGTGTCTGGAAAAAATAGTACTCTTACAACTAAAACTTTAAGGTCTCATATGTCATCTAAAAAGGTATTGTGAGTTCAAATGGCTGTTTGTTATCAGAAGTCTTTCAAAATAAATAAACAAACTCCCTTTTTGAAGTCCAGTTGAACTGGAATTTTCACTTAAATCTATTTACTTAGACCCAATCTCTTTCTGGAAATGTGTGTACTGCAGGGTGCAATCCGAGAAATGGTAGATGTACTTGTTTTCCCTTTTCCTTTTGTTTTTTGAGTTCTGCAGAGTATTTTTAAATAGTAATACACTAAAGTCTTAAAAAATAGCAATGTTAATTGCTCTGAAGCATACTGTTGTAGAAGTGAACGGATCTCAAGCAGCTGTATTGCCCTGCAGGAGCAAACTAAGACTAAGCTATTAGTCAGCACCATGGCTAAGCTTCTCTGTAGAACCTAGCTGCTCCATGGACAGTTTTAAAGAGCTGAATGAGGGAAGAAATAAAGAGTAACTCAAAAAATCCCCCAAAACCTCCACCACACACAAAACCAAAAATCTTTTTGCTTCAGTTTCTGTTTAACCTATTTTTCCCCTTCCTTCCTTTTAGGCATGATGTGTCAAATGACTTTGAAATAAATGTAGAAGTTTACAGTCTGGTATGTATCAGTTCTTATGCAGAGGATGTGTAACAGAGAATAATGGGCTGTACTTTCTTAATACCTTCTTTCCTTACAGGTGCAGAGAAAAGAAGTTACCAGCACTGATAAAAGGAAAAAGGCAAATAAATCTAAGGTAAATGAAACATGAAAATCAGTATATTGAGTTTCAACAGAAGGTGCACTATGAAGACTGCTGTGTTCAGGGAGAACTGACTAATAGTGCTAGACAATCTGTTGCTTGCTTTTCCTCTCCTTCTTTCTTGGAACATCTGCAATGACAGATGGATTATGGAGACCTGCAGCAATTAGTAGATTGGACCTTAGATGCATTACTTGACTGAATGTGAAATATATTGGAGGGGAAGGAGAAGAAATCTTACTAGTTCTGCAAAATGTTATGCTTTGCAAACTTTTATTTATTAGGTGTGGTGCCTCTGATAGTGATTTAGTGCCCTTATTCTCCCATTTACTTAAGCTGCGCCAGTCAATATGCCCTACCCTGGCGTTTGATTTGTCTTAAAGATTTTATTGATCAACTGAAAACTTTCTTTCTCCTCGGTGTTAAGTGAAAAACATTAGATGCTTGGTTTTTTTAAAGCAAACATTGTTTTAATAACTCCTTGGACAAAATATTTCAGCTTGGATAGGGCACAGGTGTTTGTGCTTTATTAAGAATATGTAACCCTAAACAAGCCAGTGACTTTCTAGAGGTGGTTTGTTTGGTTTGTTGTTTTTCTTTTGGTGGTGGTTTGTTGTTTTGGTTTGTTTTGGTTTTTTTGGGGGGGCAAGAGTAGAGCTGGGGTGTATTTTTCTTCTCATCATTCCAATAGCTGAGCATACAGTGAAGTAATGACTTCAGGTCTGATTTCCTCTTCGTCAAGATACATCACTTAGTGAAAACAAGAAACTTAAGTGTCTTTCAAAACATTTGGAATGAGTACTTAAATCCTGTCTCTGCGAACAGAAATAGGACATTTCTTTATTCTTTACTTCCATTTGGCACAGTGAAAGCATGCTTCTACCTATCCTCTAATAAAAGTTTCAAGTCCAGGGTCTTATTCTCTCCTGTGCTGAAGTTTAGAGGAATTTTTACTTAAAACAGAATGATTTTTGTGTGTTAGTTGCTTATGTAGGGTTGCAGGTTTGCCAATGGTGTCCTATATCTGCTTTTTGACAAGTTTCTTAGACTTTTCCTTCAGCTTCAAGAAAAGATGAGTACATAATTCCAGTTCATGTTTAATATACAATTTCATTTAAACTTTGAGATTTTGATTTGAAAATAATAGATTATTTATAACAGTAGCACATGGAACATCTCTGTATTTTTATTGTTAACTTTTACCTTTAAATAAGCAAATGTAACTTTGAAGCCTCATGTAATGAAGTTAAAAGGCCTACTAACGTTTTTTCAAACACATGCTGTTCATCCCAAGATAATGCATGCGTAAACTTCAGTAAATACTTTTTTGATAGGTAGTATTCTTTCCACCGAAATACTTTACATCCAGTCAAAAACCAAGACTTACTCCTTACAGCAACTATCCATTCAAAATTTATTTAGATAAGCCTTCAGTAGTTTCACTGTTTAATTTTTACACTAATATGGTGGACAAATTCAGTAGCAAATGCATTATCTTCTTGTATTCTTTCGTAGGTTATTACTCCGAAGAGATTACTAACATCTATTACCTCTGTAAGTATGAGTGTAATATTGTAACCAGATCTGTTTATGACTCCTTCCAAAGACCATATTCTCACACTGAATAAGGCTGAGCCCTTAGTAGGCTCTTTCTGTCCCTTACTTAAAACTCTATAAACTGCCCAGTTTTCGACCAAATTCTTCAGTTATCAGCTCAAGAAATAGATAACAGCTCTAAACATGTAATGCTGGAAATATGCAGTTGCTACACATTTATTTGGACTTTCTTTTCAAGTTGTTTCTGTTTGGTTTTTTTGTGTTTTTTTTTTTCTGGTGGTTTTTTCGTTCGTTTGTTTGTTTTGGGTTTTTTTTAAGTATTTCAAATGTAATTTTGTTCTACCCTAGCTTTGTCTTTTGTAGAAACTGTCAGAATTACTTTTCCCTTAAGCCTTTATTTCTTTATTTCTCTTTCTAGAAAAGCAACCTTCTTACTCCAGGTAAGTAAAGTTTAAACATCTTATGCCAAGATGAATAATCTACGCTTTCTGTCAAAACCAGTGCATCAATAAATAATACTTGTAACAGATGACAATTTCAGAGTAATAAGCACCGAATTTGCCAATCCAGAAACTGGTCCTGTGTTTATATCTGAGTTACCACCGAATTTAATGAAAGGATCTTTACAAAACCAAAACTAATATCTGGCATCAGACACCCATGGTTTGCATTTTTTTCCTGAAAATGTGAATTCAAATGAATTTTAAGATTTCAAACTGGAGTCTGATGTCAACAAAGTTTTACAGAATAACTTGAAAATACAAACAGATCCTAAAGCATTGTTTGTGTGTAGTGTATATAATAACACAGTTAAACATTTATATATTTCTGACTCTTGAGGGGAGGAAAGAACAGCATCTCTGAGTGGTTTTCTAACTACATAAAAATGTGTTATACACTTGTATGACCAGAGTATGAGATACTTGAGCTGACCTTAGTACAAATTGCAAAAATAAGGAGCTCATGAACTAACTCTGGAACATCTACCATGCTACTGCTACTAGTAAGATTCCTGTGCCTGAGCTACAGTTTGTGTTTCTATTGCTAAAAATGCAAAAAAAGGTGTACAAATTCTAGAAGTCTGCAGCATGTCACTTGAGAAGAGGTGGAGGGATTTAAAAGGCATGTTCTTACCGCAGGATGTGTGCGCTTTGTAGCATGCCCTAGCATGCTCTCTGTCCCTCTGAGACTTCTTTAAATGCTTTTTCTCCTTTGTGGATATTTCAAGACTTCTTTGTGAAAGAAAAGATTTACTGGGGAGGAATGGTGTACATCAAGATTCTCTCTGAATGTCCTGCTGGGCTGCACTGCAAAGAGGGCTTCCCCTGGAGTACTGAGTAGGGCATGCATACAGGAGCACAAATAAAGCCTTTTTTGTTTTGTTTTGTTTTTGTTTTTTTTAAACCTTGCAGCATCCTTACTGTGTGTTGTGTTATGACTTCACTTTAACTTCTTTCTCCGCAGCCATGGCCAGTCCAGGTGGCCCAAATGCTATACGCAGTACTAATTTCATCCTTGTTGGATCCCACAAGCTATCTCTGTCTTCTGTAGGAAGTGCCAAATTTGCATTGGACAAGGTAATTACTGGTTACTAATCCAAAGGTAATTGCATACTACTAGAAAAATGAATGAGTCTGGGCCTACTGTTTTCAGGCAAAATTACCATCCTAGAAATGAAACATATAGGTTTATAGATATGTTATTTATACATTACAAATTTATGGATAGTTGTTACACTTCATTCATATGAAATTCAATATAAGTAATTTTGAGATACAACGGAGAAAGACTTACATTACTATGCCAGATACTCTTTCATTTCTGTAGCTCAGTGTAAGGTATGGTTATGCAAAGATAACGAAGGCATTTGTTTACTGATTTGCATTCACTGACAAAAAAATTGATGTATGCAGTTGGCATCTCTGGACGTGATCTTTGTATTGTTTGTTGCTCTTAGCCTTGCAGTTATCACTAAATAAGACATCTAGTGTGTTTTAATGATAATGAAGTATTTGAACTTTTCTTCATTTAATTGACCTAAAAATTACCATTCGAATATAGTTAGGATTACGAGTTTTTCCTTTCATATCCCAATTAAATTTGTAAAAACGAATAATCTTAATATTGAGAGAGCTATTATTGAGTTTTATTGCATTAGTTGCTTGTCTAAATATAATGTTTATTTGCTTTTACTGTCAGAAGTTTAAAAAATACATTTTTACATTCATTATGATCTCTTAACCTTGTAATATCTAATACCTAAAACGTATTTTAATAGGTGTTTATGCCAGTAACTATCTTTAATTTAAATGAATTCAAAAGTTACTACAGTTTATGGTAGGACTAAATCACAGCTTTATCTATCCAAACAGCATCATTAGTATAATTTTTTTTTCTTGGCTAATTCAATCATATGTATTGATAGTATTATTGCAATTATAGCTTCTGATGGGAGATGAGATGACAAGAACTAGTAGTGTTTGTGCATAAGACTTAAAACAAAATATCGCAATAATACCAACTTGCTGTTTAGAAGTTTTTTACTTTTTGCAGATAGAAGCAGACTCTGTTACTTGAATTGCACTGGTGTTACTGACTATGTGAACTTCAGAGCTTTTTCAGCTGTGGTTCTTCAGCATAAGTGTTCCTGTTAACCAGAACCATGTGTAGAAATCTTTGTGTATGGCTTGCTTATTGGAAACTCATTGTTCTTGGAGTTAATGGAATCAGCTTTTGCAACCAGCAATTTGGGTTTGAACTTCTTCAGTTTACTTTGTGGGACAGGACACTGGACTAGGACTCCTGGACCATAGCACAAGCACAAGGTTTAAATAGAATTCCAGGGAAACTATCACTTGGTTAATTTTTTGCAGGTGCAGCCTTAGTTATCTGACAAAAAGGGAAAATCTTGTTTGTCACTTGGGTTTTTTTAAATTATCATGTCAGTAAATCTTCAGTTTTGACTTGGCCTATGGCTGTACCAACGGCTGCTTTTTAATTTGCTTCATGCATTTCTAATGAGGAACAAACTACTGTCACAGTGGGTTTTTTGTTTCATTCCTTTCTTTTATACATACTGTTAAAATTCAGGGTAGGAAAGGACCAAAATATGCTCTTGTATGACTGTGTCCTTTCTTCTTCTAGACTTTAACTTTACACTAATTGCATTGAGCATGTTTCTTTTTTCCCTAGATAAATTTTGAAGGGGAGGAAAAAGAACTGTTGGGCTATATGTTCCAGGACAAGGTTGCTATAATCCTTTAGTTCATAACTTAAAATAGGAAACTGCTTTCTAGTGCATGTTTCTTATCTGTGTCTGGCCTTTTTGCAACTTCTTTTAATTTTTCTAGGCAAATGCTTATGAAGATTTACTAACTAAACACAAGATGTTAGGGGCCTTTAAGACTTGCAGAATTCTCCCCCTTGCACAGTACTTCTCCCAGCATGCACAGTAATAAACATGCTGCTAGAACTCAAAGTTATTTAGGCTGCCTAGGGCTTTTCCTTAACTAGCATGTGCCTCTTGTCTTCCTAGGTCACTGGAGGAGGGATTTTTTACTTCAAAACAAATTGATGTGTCTCTTAAAGATTGCTAGTCAGAAAATTTGGGCCAGCTTCTTTATGAACTGCAGAGAACATAGAATCAGCTACTCCACTGATAAGAAAACCAGAGAAAAATGACTGGCGGCCTAAATGTTGGTTTAACTCAACTTGTTGCTGCTGAAGAAAATTAAAATCACCTGGGACCTAGATATCTAATTTCTTATTCTAACCAGACCTTGTTCTGGCAAGATGTAGCAAGACCTTTGTTTTTTAAACAAAAAGTGATCATAAAGAACTGAAGTTTTAAAGATACTAAACGTGTTAAAATGTGAGGGTTTTTTATTTGTACACAAATGTGCACTTAAAATATTTTGCTATACGTTTTTGGCTTTAGGAATTATGTGAATTGATATGCTTTAAAGAAATAATTTGTCTTTAACATCTGAAAATAGTTTTGTCTAGTTAATAGCTTACTTGAGTCTATCAGAAGAAAGTGTTTTAGATAAATTTATAAGTTTTCGCTCAAAATTAAGCAAGTGATAATTTTAGTACTTATCTCCTATTTTTAATCAAAAGTCTCCTAAAAAACCAATTTTTCAAATTCTTGAATTGTCTTGAGTACCTTTACAGATAATCTTCTATGACAGTAGGACAACTGCTTAAGACAGACACTTGAATGAGCGCACCAGAATGCAAACTAGCCTAGCCATGGGTTTTAGTTTTCTCTTCATCTACCTGGATATTGACAACTAGATTTCTTTCCATCACCTCCACCCCTTTGAAAGGGATAGATTGATAAGTAGAATGCAATATTTTCTCATTATGTGTACAGGAGAGTGTTTCAAGACCTGCTTTAGTAATTAGTAATGGTGTTGCAGGTTCTGCAAAACTGTATGTTCTGTTTGTTATACAACCTCTTTGCTTTACTGTCACACAGCTCTTCACTGGTAAACTTCATAATCCATTAGATAGATTCTTCTGTCCTGACATAAACCAGAAAGGAATGCGAAACCCACAAACTTGAATTGGGGAATGGCCAAATGTCCCTGAGGCCCTCATTCAGAAATGGATTTTACTGTGGTTTGCTAGAATATAAGCCAGAGTTCCCTGATGTAGCATGTAGGGTTATAGTTGTCTTTGCTGATAAAAAATCTAACTTATTTATATTATGTGGGAATGTTTTACTATTTTTTGCTTCTCAAATGGTCATGCAGGCTCCTACCTGATGCTCAGAATTTGTCTGTGCTATACTGTAGAGCTGAGTATGCTGTGATAGTTGAGTAGATCTAACATGTAAAAATGACTTGATCACCTGTTTGTGCACATGTGTATCACGTCCGGAAAGAAGCTTCAGGATGTCTAAAATTAGAAGGCAATTTGTTTCTAGCCACAACACGTATTCTAGTGTTCTGCAGGATCCACTGAGGCCTACAGATGTGCACTTTTAACTACTGAGGGTGACTCTTGTTCATCTTAACTACTAACAATACTTAATTCTATTTGATTGACATTGATTCTGTGGCTTTAAAAGCTACTTCATTGCAATGTAGACATGTTGATTCCCTGGCAAGTTGTTCTTTCTTTGTGTTTGACTAGCACCATCAACTTGTCTGTTTTTTCTACTATGAGAAAACACTGTTTCTACTATGTTTTTAATATTATTTGTTTTATTTTATAATATGTAATAATATATTATATAATTTATATTATTTTTAATAGTATTTATTTTTCTGATTTTTTTTTTTATTATCAGAAGCATTCCTGTTTCTATTTTGGTTGGGGTTTTTTTGCAAGATTCTTAACAGTATTGCTTATTTAGATTAGCAACAAAATATGGTATGTAAAATGCCCTGCAGATCATAACTTGCTTGTTGTATTAGCAGTTTGTCTCTTAGCTTTCTTATGGGGGAAAATAAAAGAAGGGGTGTGATTTTGTAGGAGTAGTCAGTGTAATGGGGTACTAGGTATGGGAAGGATTGAGTGAAGTCCAAAGGCAGACTTTGTTGCATGTTTCTTCTAAAAACTCTTGACTATCAAATAGCTATTTAACCAACCTCTAGTACAGTACTTTAGCTGCTTTTTTTTTTTCAGTGGCAGAAGATAGGACTTGGAACCCTTTCTGTTAAAAATTACTTAACACGGGTCTTTAACACTTTTGAGTGCCAGTTGAGAAGAATTGTTGAGAAGAATTGTTTTCGTTACTTTTCCCCTTGCTAGTTTTTTTTTTTTTTAATACAAAGACTTATCTGAGTAGGCATTACTACATCAGTATCTGCTAAAAATACTTATGGTATCCAAGTACCATTCCTGTTTCAGCTCACTTCGATATTTTCCAAACAACTTAATGTCAAGCTGAGGCAGAAGCTTGCAGGGTGTGGACTGGTGCCTTCTGTTGTTTCTAACCATGCTTGGAGTGCCTGTTTTTATAGAGAAAAAATGCATGTTTGTCCATATGTCCTGAGCAAACTACTAAGCAAATAATTCATAAAGAGCTTCTAAATGAACTTGAAACAAAAAATGATTATTACTGTCTTGCTTGAGACTGACTACTGCTTTCTGGCTGAAGATTCTAGGAGCAAGACAGTGCTAACATCTTGGTGCAGGTGGCTTGCTTGAACCAGTAAGAGTTGGGAGGTGCCAAAATTAAGTGATTAATTGTTTTACTTTTTGCAGGTTCCCTTTTTGTCCCCTTTGGAAGGTCATATATATCTAAAATTGAAATGCCAAGTGGACTCCTTGGTGGAAGAAAAAGGGTTCTTGGTAAGGTATTCACTTGAAACTTCTTCCTTGCGAATAACAGGTCCTATTAAATGTAGTCACTTTTTTAACTTCACACATGTATTTGAAGCTTAAAAGTGGCTTGATATTTTTTTCCCCTCTCTGAACCAGACCCCAAATGTTTTCTAGTTTATCTTCTAAACGTGACTAAGTTAAAACCACCTTTTAAGATTTTGTGTCTCTCTCTTCTAAACTCTGTTAATTTCTTATTTTAAACTTAAGTTAGCCTTCTCTTGCTCTAATCTGTGATATGAGATGAGATTTTAATCTCTCTGGCAGAAAATTTTACAAGATATCTTGATTTGGTCTTTTTGAGTTTTTTTTTGAGTCTAGTAAAAACAAGATTGGGGGGGTTTTTTCCACTGTGTTCACAGCCTTTGGAAATGCCAAGGAAGTGACAGTACTTTTTTTCGGGAAACGTCTTTAGCAATTCTCTCTCTAAAACTGAACTTCAAAAATGCAGCCGATACTTGAGTCTAAGAGGTGAAGCTGTTGAGGTGTCCAGCAGATGGCAGTAAATGTGCTATGGAAATAGCTTCAGCACAACATTAACGTTTGCTGTTATTTTGGTGTTTTCGTAAATCAGAATTTCTTAGAACTCTTTTCAGACACTGCTTTCTGTCTCCTTTCCCTTCACTTAATTGAAGTTGAACAGATTTCATTAGATGCAAACATTTCTCATGCTTATGGTATTTGCTGCCCCATGTTTCTGTGTACTAATTTAAGAAAGTCCATATTTGCTTCCACTATACAATATGTCACACTGGAAGAATGGTGTACATGCATATTAAATTTGTCCAGAGTAAGGGTTTGGAAACTCCCTGCACCATTAAAAATTATAAACTGAATTGCGATGAGTGAAAAACACAACACACACAAATTAATTGGAAAATAAAACTTCTATACGAGTTCAAAGGGGTCAGAAATACAAGTCAGATACTAAACTTTCCATTCCAGTACTAAGGAAATGGGGCTTGAAATTGACAAAATCCTTCATCCAGTAAAAGAACTGCCAACACAAACATTTAAAAATCAATTTCTAATTTCTTTGAAACTGACTGGGCTCCTGAGTGTGGCCTGTTGATTAGCCAGATATTTTATAATCCTGAATTGTAAGTCAAAGATGACTTAAATATCTAATAATAATAAATTGTTGTATGTGTTTTGCGAACAATTCATACTGCATCTACTATAAGAAACCCTCCATTATCTTTAAATAATGGGAATGCTGGCCACCATCAACATGAAAATGTGGTAGTTTGAAACAGCAGTGGTAGATGTATTTTGAGCAAGAGGCTGCAAACTTCAGAATGATAATGTGAGCCCATTTTCTATGCTATCTTGAAAATATTCTATGCTAATAGAAGGCTCTCCTAGTATAATTTTTTTCCTTCACTTTTGTGTACTCCTATAACAGATTGTACTTGCAGAACCATTCTGGTAGCAAAATAGTCAAGTACAGACCAAGTTCAAGGTATAATGTTACCCCATTTTTTACTTTTTAATTATTCTTTTTTAAGACGATTTATTTTTTTTTTTTAAGACGATGTTTGAAGATGTTAGTGGATTTGGAGCATGGCATAGACGCTGGTGTGTGCTGTCTGGAAATTGTATCTCTTATTGGACATACCCAGATGATGAGAAACGAAAGGTAATGCTTCTTTATAAAGCTCAAGTCTAAAGTTCCGTAGTACCCTACACAACTACCTGTTCATTTTTAAGGCTTGAAACTGGTAAAGATGTTCAAAGTATTCAAGGTCATAAAGCTTCCTTGGGGAATGGAGGGGACTTGTCTTTATAAATCAGAACTAACTGGGCAAACCTAGAAGCTGACTACTCTGTCTAGTGGGAAAGGGAAAAAGCGAAAGAGGATCCATATTTAATTTCCTCTTTAGTCTTAAGGCTTTCCATTGTGCTCATCAAATGACTATATTTAATTGAATTTGATCAGACTTGTACAGCTTAATAAGCAGACTGTGTCTAGTAGCCTTAAGTTTTAGACAAAATATGACTAACAATATGATAAAGAATTAGAGTGGGCAATCCTTCTATATTGCAGAAGCATAACTGTAATTGGGGACTATCTTATTTGTGGTTATTGTTGTCTTGCAATTCCACATTATAGCTGGAACCAGTGCTTCTTGGTTCTCACGGAAACCAAGTTAATGTCTGGCTAATGAGACAAATCAGAGGTTCATCTGTCACTGAGGTGAACCTTCCTGTCTCCTTAGCCTGTTCTCTCTGCATGTGCTAAAATATTTCCAGATCTTTGTAAGGACTGCTTTCAAGAGGGTTTTTCTGACTCACTGAAATTATTTACCATTAAACTTTTAATTTATTTTATTGTTAAGCTTATTGGCAGAACACTTTCATTCCCAAACTCTATGGCAAACTGGTCTTTTTGGGTCTTCTATGCCAATCCAGATGCTTGAGTTTAGTTTCTTCCCTGCTAACAGAAGAAGACCATATGCTGATAGTTGACATTGCCAAAATATATCAATGTACTTTTTTCTTATGCTAGAAGAGAAGGAAAAATCTCTACCCACTGTAACAGAAGATAGGCAAAAATTAAATGAATTAAACAAGAAAAAGGTTTCTATTCTGCTTTTGTCTACAAGAAAGAGGCTTCGGTTTGTTTTCCTGATTCTGTTCTTGAAAATCTTCTAGACTTGTTTGATTATTGTTCTGAGAAGGGGTCAGCTGTATTCTTTTGTTATACTTTTATCTACAGCAAAATAAACTTATTAAATGCCTCCCCTCAATCCTACTATATCTGTTCCATCATGCAGAGATAGATGTAGCTCAGATATATTGGTATTAGGCCATGATTGCTTTAAATCACAAAATGCTTTTTTTCTAAAATAAATTTTCTATGGCTGTACATATATCACCAACATGCAACACTTTCCCTAATGTTCCTTGATGTGGAGCTGTCCTCCTTTTTCCTGAACTTGGGTTATTTAAAGTGTCTATGAAATAGTGTAGTAAGCATGCCCAAAAAATAGCAAATTCTTCTCCAAGCCAAGAGTAGCTTGTGATGTTTCCCTGATGAGGTATTCTGCAGGCATGAAGAATCAATGCCAAGGTCTGTAACTAACTTTAGGTGTACAACTGAGCTTCTTTCTATAGTCAGCATATACCTATATGTGACTGCCTTGAAACTTGGAAGGCTCTTCAAAGAGGCCTATCTCTTGACTAGAGAGAGCTAAAGCAACTGGACTCGAGGCTTGGGTGCCTTAGTTGAATGTTTGAAGATGAATCCATATGTGGTTATAGGCTTTGACAAGAATGATGCGAGGATCCCTAAAGTGTGTGCTTTCTATAGGCTTTCACAGGGTTTAGTCTTATCAGTTTGGATTTTGTTACAAAGTTCTCTTGAAAGTGAGAGTTAAAACATTCTAAGGAATAAAGGGGAGGTACATCTTTGTGTAGCCTAAGCCTTTGGTAAGAGATAGATGTGTTAGTGGTATTGTATGTGGCTGAGCAGAGCATGTTCCATTGCCTGTATGATCTTGCTTTCAGCTATGGCCCTAAAATGGCAAAAATTGTCAAAGCGTATGTTGTTCAGAATTACTCTTGATTGCAGCATCCTTGACTGATGAACTAATTTCACTTTCAGCATCCTTTGGGCCGCATAAACTTGGCTAATTGTACCAACCATCAGATTGAACCTGCCAACAGGGAGTTCTGTGCCCGTCCCAACACTTTTGAACTAATAACTGTCAGACCTCAGAGGGAAGATGACCGAGAAACTCTAGTCAGCCAATGCAGAGACACACTCTGTGTTACAAAGTGAGTGCATAAAATCATGGAGGTTGTGGGAGGCTATGGGATGTGTATGGGATGGTGTTTTACCTCATGTGATAGTTTTAGTAACATAGGAGTTTTACAACTTTGTCATATCAGTGCTAAGCTTATTTAAATGCTAAGATTTTCAGATGGCACTTGAGCTGTTTGGTTCACTTTTAGACCTATTTTGTCTTTCTATTCCATTTCAGTATTCTAAGAACAAAGAACTCCACTCTTCTAGAAGTGGAGAATGCCAGGTGACTTGGTAACAGGACTGTGGAATGTTTGACTTCATTTTTTCCCCTGCTATTTGGGCTTCTATGGTTGATCAGTTTGACATTTTTCATAATAACTAAGTGGAGGTGGAGAATAATCCACTGGGTTCTTTGCCTTTTAGGAACTGGCTATCTGCTGATACTAAGGAAGAGCGTAACCTTTGGATGCAAAAGCTCAACCAAGTCCTTGTTGACCTTCGCATGTGGCAGCCTGATGCCTGCTACAAACCTATTGGAAAACTTTAAACTCTGGAAAGGAAATATGAAGAAAATATGTGAAAATCCTCACTAACTAAACAAGAAAAGAACTGAAATGAAAATACGGGAAGTCCTCTGGGTCACTTATGCTTTAAATTGAGAGAGTATTTAACATTATATAGGACTGTGTTATGCAGTATTTTTATTTTGCTTAAAAAATTTTAAAACTTTTTTACTTCCTAGCTTTTGAGTATGGTAGGAAGCAATTAGTTGTTTCTTAATATTTATGTAACTCCTTTTTTGGAAGTCTTCTAACTAGGTACATTTTCTCCTTTAAACAACTAAATTATTTCAGGAAATCACACTTCAGGGCAGGAAGGGAGGCGCAAGCTAGTGAAAAACAAGCTTTCTAGATAACTCAGCTCCCTGAAAGAAACAATAGCTCAAAATACTCCAACAAGGATGCTGCCGAAGTACAAGATTTAATGTTGGAGGTTTGTTGGGGTATTTTGTAAGGATCAGATACAGATGTTACTAAGTCAATTTTGTTCTACAACATACAGTATAGATATTTCTTGCTTGTACAGCATCCTTGTGGTCAGAACAATAGAAATGCACAATATATTCATACTACTTTTGCAATTTCTTATACAAACCAGTATGGGTAAGTGCATGGCATGTACACTATGTGATTTGCAGATGTGGGATTACGTATGCAGTATATTGCACTTTGATAGAAATTAAAAGTCTTGAATATTTTTGTTAGGACTGCTATATAAAAAAAAATCTAACAGAGAAATTTAGGTTTAGGATTGTATGCATCAGTATTTCCTGAGTCTTGTGGTTTGTACAAGCTGGAATTCTCCGTTTGAGAACCAGGAATAGGTTAAGAGGTTGTAAAAGTGCTTTTTTTTTTTTTTTTTTTTTTAATAATAAGATTTTACAAAGCTGCTATGTACCAACTAATACTCTGCTGGCCAAAAGTACGGGTCTTCCTCCCCTTGACAGACATGTGCGCAAATGCATAGAAAAGCAGTACTTGAGACCCATCAAAACGGCAAAATTTCTCAGTTAAAACTTGCAGTTTTCACAGCTTTTCACTGGGCTTAGTGAAATACCAGCTCATTACTTCACTATTGCAAATGCAGTAGTGGAACACTGGAAATTGCTGTTGCTGTTACACATTCACACTCAAAACACTAAATTCTGTTAGCTTATACTGTTTTCATCCTGCCACTTTTGTACTTGCTTTTAAATCGTTTTCTTTTTCCTTTATGTCTTTAAATATTTCCAAACTATGTATTGAGATTTATTTTATTCATTTAAAATAAAAAATTACACACCACCTGCTTTTCTCATAGCATTTTCTATGCATTTGAAACACTAGTTTGTAAGCTAAAGTAGTGGTGCTGGGATCCACACAGTGTTTGAGAAAGGATTCTATTTTGTACGTGTATCACAATTCCACTTTTTTGAGAAGATAATTTGAGGCCTCGGATGTAGCTAGCACCAAATTTTGTAGTGAGAGGCCAGGTTGTCCATGTCCAGCAGTTCATTAGATATGAAGAGGAGAGACTGTTCTTTTCTTTAGTGACAGAGACAGGGCAGCATAGTAACAGAGTAACACAACACAGACAGTGCAAGGGTAAATTTCATGCTGGGTATGTGGTAGGCTGTCTTCTTAAACTTCCAAGTGGATCTTAAAAATCATTAAATATAGAATTATCAAATGAGTCCACAGAAAGGTGCTAAGAACTGAACTGGATGTATCCAAGGGAACAACATGTTTTTATTTAGGTTGATTGGGCTATTATCCTTTGTAGAAACCAATCTGTGTTTGTTCAATGACCAAAAAGTAGTTATCCCTCATCAAGCAAAGGTAAAAAGTGTAACAGGTGGAGTAAGTTAGAAAAGCTGACCTGTGTGGTGAGTTCTGGGCACAAGCTCTCAGTGGTGAGGACATGGGCTACTGCAGCCAGCAGAAGCATGGGATGCCAGCTTAGCTGCAAGCCTGCACTCACAGCTTTACTGACTTGTACTGCTGTGTGCCATCTCCTGCCATGCTTCTCTGCTCTTTTAAGGGTGACCTGAGAATTTTGCAAAAAAAAAATGGTGATGTATTTTTTCCATGTTTGTAGTAGATCCTTTTTAAAGAGGCCAGACTGTGTGAATTCAGATAGCTTTAGGTAGCTTTAGATGTTCTATACCTCAAAAATAATTCCTACTGTCTGATTTCAAAGCTCTAAGTTTTGTAAAAACCATTTACAGAGTGAAGTCCAAAAAAACCTTCCTATTTGTAGTGTGTTGGACCCAGCCAGTGACATAATCCCTGCTATATTCACATGCTCTGACTGACCCCAAAGAGACCTTGACAGACCATTCCTTCTAGAAATACATATTGCTATAAAGTTTGAATTGCGTGGAACTACACCTAGGTTTCCAAGAGAAACTTTTTATTTCCTGTTTATTTCTCTCTTCCCCACGTATTTGTCATCTTCAACCAGTCTAGTCTAAACACCAGGAGACAGTTAAACTAATGGAATAGACTAGAATTTGTAGTTCATTACTGCTTTAGCATAAGTAAGCTTTTTCAGCAGCATTTTTTTAAGCATAGGACATATATTTTTAGAGTGGTACGGGTAAGTGATTGATGGTTGCGGATGCAGATCTTCAGCTGTTTTTTGCATTTGAAATAATAGACACAGTGGTTGTAAAAGCTGATGGCATAATAGGCCCAAAATTCATCTTTATTCGCAGATAGTTACTGCATTACAGATCAAGTTTCTGCATACAGCCCAATTTGGAGCTGCAGAGCTCAACTCTAAGGCATGAGGGCATGTGCTTTGGTCAGTGCAACTCCAGCCAGGGGCAAGCCCATTCCTTGGTGTCCCTCAGAGACCCCATGTCCAGCATGGAGCAATGGCACTGGGCAAACCTGAGAGCTTTGCTTTGTGGTTCAGCTATGGTTTCAGGTTGTCTCTGAGAAGATGTTATAATTGTATAAGAAACGGGTTTTTCCATTGTTTGAAAATTCAAGAAGTTCACTAATATGAAAGTCTCTAAGTGAAAAATGCTTTGCTCTGGGCAATGAAGCTTACTTTAGCTGAGGAAATTTCAGTTTTACTAGTTTGTGAAATTCTTAATTGGTGTTATTAAGCCTCAAATGAAATACAATAATTTGCAATGAAATTGCCTTGAAAATTAGGCTTCTAAACACGATTCTCTTCCCCCTTTTAATTGCTACACTTCTGTATGTTAGTGTAGAGGAAATCATCTAATATTCTGTAATTATTGCCAGTGCTGTACTTGGTCTATAGTAAAACCATGTGAATGCATTTGTTTCTGTCCTTGTGTTATATTTAGTGAAACATAAGAGGCCTGAATAGGTAAAAAAAAATAGAAGGCGTTCTACCTGGCCAGGGTGCATGGAGTGTTACGTTGTTTGGAAAGAATTGGCACAGAAAGCAGGGAGATTTCCTTTTCCTTCTAATGTCAAATAATTTCCCCAGTCATGACTCTCTGGAGTTGAAACTATTTCTTGGGAGACTGGATATTTTGGTAACATCTAAATGCCTTGAATGAATTGGGGCCTTATTAACAAGTATCATTCAATTAGGGAACGTATTCCCTTTTGGTTTCCTAAAATAGATGACGTGAATATTTACTTAAGTGTTAGAAATTCCTTTGGGATTACTGCTATCTTAATGAAGGACGTGGCATTGACTGTGCTCTAAAAAAAAAAGGAATAGGATCTAGCAAAGCAATAATACATGCTTCAATCAAAATAATATAAGCCAATCATCCCCTGCCTATTCAAAATGCTGAGCGGGTGCTTCTCCTACAGCCAGGCATCTCCGTTGATTTGGACCACAACCTAAGAGCTGCCTCATGGGTGACACAGCCTTGTACAAGGGATATGCTCAGAACAGAGAGCAGAGCAGGACTACCTGAGCTTTGGCCAAATAGGGTGGGTTTTAGTCACGTCATGTTAAAGCTTTCTGTTTACCAGATTTTTTTCTGTGTGTAATTAATGCCATTTTATGCTGTCTGATCCCTCCATCATCAGTAAGGTTGTGAATAGGGTAGAGCTGTCTCTAATTTTTAAATATGTATTTATTTATTTATTTTGTTAAGAACATGGATAAGCTGGTGAAAAAATACAGTAATTCTCAATGTTCAAGTCTATCTATGAAGTACAGCAGCTAAGGGCTGCCCAGTATTTTCAGTGGTTCCTGGGTCATGCCTTTAAAAGACGTAGGACTGGGCATATTATTTGTTAGAAAGATAAAGAGCAAAGATATATTACAGGTTGAAAAAGCAACCTGTTTTCAATACATGAAGGGTTGTCAAGTTAGCATCTTATTAATGGGAGGAAGAGAACCTGTGCTCAGTCAGCCTGTGCTAATGCTGCCAGGCAAATCAAAATTGTAGTGCCTTGTGTTGCCTGGCACGTTTTAATAAGCAAATAGCAGCTAAATAATGTATTGACAGTCAGAGCAATTACATACACGCAATTTATAGCAACATAATGAGTTTGAGGTTTCCCCCACTCCTTTTGGATCAGATTAACCATTGAAACATTACAAATGGAAAGCCAAGTAATAATGTTCTGCAGGGGGGGAAAAATGAGGTAGGGCTAAAAGTTTGCTATCTCTATAAAAAAAATTTATGGATTTGCAAATCAGTACAATAAATGGTCTAGCTGGCAGGTATCCTTTGATTTTTATTTTTGTAGCTCCACAGAAAAAGCATAGCCTACTTGTGCAGGTGAGATACAAGCTGAAAAGAATGCTGTTGTGCTATGTCCACTGCTACTGGCTCCCCTCCCCCCTTTTTTATGTGTGTCTTTAATCATCTTGACTCGTGGAATGCACTGGGAAACATCACCATAAATCACATTATGGCTCTGGCAGTTTGGAAGTCAGTGTCCACCTTGATCTTTGAATATAGCTTCAATCTGGTCATTGAATGGATTCTCTTTTCCAAGCACTTGAGGCCATTCCTGTAGTGCCTTCTGCCAGGTAATGCTTGTTCCAAGGGCTGCAGCAATCTGCAAAAGCACAAATACCATCAATATCTCATGTCTCTATAATACAGTTATTTCATGCCAGCGTTTAGGAGACCCCACCATAAGGAAGCCTGTATAGCCACATGATGGACTGTAATCTCTAACCAAAAGAAATCCCCCATTCCAGCTGCTTGACCAGGGCAAAATCCTTCTGAACAGTAAAAATATGGTGAGGACCATATATTTGCACCCTCCTGACCAGTTGTTTGTCTAATGACACAATGTCTGTGTCTACCCACTTTCTAATGCCTATGATGTTTAGTCCATAAACTGCTATTCAAAAGCCCTAAAGTATGATTTTTATTTTTTCCCCTGTTGAACATTTTGAAAGTAGTCAAAAGCACTGCTTGGATATAATGCATAGAACTATTGTAAGTCTAAAAGAATTCATGCTTCTAAATACCTCTAGTACTTCTAATAAATGTTCTCTCTGCTCTCCTGGAAGGAAACCATGTGTTGAGGAAAGAGGCCCAATTATATCCAGTTTCGAAACTACCTTGCTCTGATGCTCTAAGTTTGCACCTGCTGCCGGTTGTCTTCAGAGGTTTTTTTTCCCATGAGACCTGCAGAAATGCTAGAATAGCTTTTCTCCTCAATATCAGTATTGGTCCAATTTTCATAGAGATTTTTGCCATGGAAGTTATGCACTGAAGAGAAATTGTATCTGCTGTATTTCCAGGGTAAAAGACATCAAGGGTAGCAGAAAGGGACAGAGAGAACAGCCTGATTCTCTCTTAATCAAATTTTCCCATGCTGCTAAGGCAGTTTTGCTTTAACTCCTGACCTACAATTATAATTGGCTTCTATGATAACTTTATTTTCAACATAAACTTTTTAACACTGACACTGATTGCAATTATGAAGGCTAACAAAGCCTTTTTTAAAGGACTGAAATAGGTTTATGGAATCAAACTGTTTGAATGCTGATGTTTTGGAGTTTGGGAAAAGACAGAAGCCTTTGGGAAATATTTATGCACTTCTTTTTAAATGTTGTACTTTTGAAGGAAGCTGTAATGATGGGCTAGGAGACAAAAAACTTACTTTTATTCAGAACTCATATACAACAAGACATATTTGTGGTATGGAAGCTCTTAGACTCCGGTCACCTGAGGTTTTGTTAAGCTGATGGAGGAATTGGAGCAGGGAAGAAGGATAGAGGAGACTGTACAGTTTTCTGTGTTTTCTTCTGGTTGCAGTTTCTAGTGACCAAATGTTTATTCTGGGACATGCTATGTCATCCAGGGGGCTGAGGCACATCCCTGTCAGAGTGGTCCATTCTGACATGTAGTCTCCAAACCTCCTTCACAACTCCCTAAGCCTTCCATATATATTTTTAGCAGGATTTGTTGGTTGGTTTTAAAAACCCTACTATCTTTGCATGGTACACCCTTTGCAAAGGTATTACCGGAGGTATGCTCTACAGTGTTCAGACTACTGTTGACTGTAATTTAAGGTATATATGCTTAAACTACCCTAAATTATTACCTAAATTAGGTTCTGCTAACACATCATTTCATAAAGTCCTGATGACTTCAATAATTTACTCTGGATGAGTAGCAAGGCACAGAGAAGGATTTTTGATTCTGGAAATTGCATTTCTTACACGTTTTTTTCTAAATTCCAAAGTTCTTGTGCTGTGAGACATGCTGTAATTTGTATAGGGTTTGCAATTAATTTCTTAATAGTGAAGATGACAACCCCTAAGGAAGTTCTTTACAGGAGATATTACCCATTCCTCACAGGGCTCTGGGTGACTGCAACTGGGAGGCAGCTGTGTTATTCCAGCAGCTTCAGGCTATCTGTTTTCTCCTTCTGCACCAAACTGGCAATGGGCGTGCTTCTCAGCAAAGTGTAAATACTCAACTCATCTGATATGTGCCACTTCAGCTTTTTCTCTGTATTTCTGGGTGGAGTATGCTTTGCTATGACTTAAGGAAGAAAAAGGAAGAAGCTAATCACACTCAAGCTGTGCTTTCCTGCCTGTATATAAACATTAAGAATCTTCCAAGCGTCTCAGGTTCCAGTTTGTGATGCTCAGGGCTTTCACATTCTCCCTGATAACTTCATAAAAGCAAGAAATGGAGCTGTTTGTTCAGGATCCTGTTGAAATTCATAGCCCTGTCATCCAAACAAAGCAATAGACTGTTCTAGAGGGAAGTGATGTCCTTGAAGCCATCTGGCATTCACAAGGATTTGCAGTGAAATTTTGTAGTAAGGAAGAGATGCTGAAGAAAATTGCTGGGCTCCATCTGTAGTTAGTGGGAAGAAAAAGACATATTTGTTCCAAGAACCACCAAGCCGGACTTTGGGGAATGGTCTCACAAAGACAGCTCTAGAGGGAACTTGGGAGGACTGAGTGATGCATGTGGCTTTTAGGTGTCAAAAGTAAATGGTGTGAATTTCTTCCGCCTCCATCCTGAGCTGGGTGTTTCGTAAAAAACTTTTTATGGAGGGAAATTTTAGCTTTGAAACTTTAGTGGAATGCAATTATGCCAGTAATGAGCGGTTTGTTTGCAGCCTCCTGTTTTGCAACTTAATAAAAACATGCAGGAAACACCTTCACTGTGCAAGAAATTAACAGAAAGGGAATGTGTTTCTGGGCCTGGCTAAATAAATCAGTACTTGGTGTTTATGCCTTCTTTCAAGGGTTTTTAAATATAAAGTATTGCCTGAAGTGGGGACTGTGTGGGCTAGTTTTCCCTGCCTGAGTGCCTAACCTAGCCTTTCTCCAAAGCATGAGAAACTGCACTAGCTCTAACGGGACACGGTGAGTGTTGTCTTTTTTCTTATTTTCTTTCTCTTCACCTTGTAGGTATACAAGCTTCAGTTAGGAAGTTTCAATTCCCTCCCATATCCCTCTGGAATGTCTGGACTACTGGACTATTGGATATACATGCTGGCACCTACTTCTGCTGTGTTTATACCAGCAGATGATTTTTTAAAATTAAACAGACAGTTGATAACAGCAGGTGAATTCCAGGAGCTGAGAACAGACACCATCTTATGCTGCCCACTGCTGTATTACAATGACTAGGGATCACTGCATACACTGCCAGCTCACCCTTGGCCGAGAGGGGCACTACGGTTCTTTTATCCCAAGCTCCAAAGTTTCTCTGCATTGAAGGCAAGAGCTAAAGTATTTATGCTTTCTTTGGAATGCTGCTCAATTCCAAAATTTGAGAATATTTGTCAGGTACTTTGAGGTCTACAGAGGGAAAATTCAGTAGAAATGCCCAGGCTAGGTCTTATCTGTTGTAAGTTTTTGTC